CGTTCGATGTTTTACCAAATGAAATCCTCCTTCATATATTTGATTATTTAACATCAAATGATATTATCTACTCATTTATTGATTGTAATCAACGATTACAAAATCTCTTACTTACACAAAAATATCATTTCAACTTACCAACAACAAATCTCAGTTTTTGGAAGAAAACTCTACCATTAATTGGTTCACAAATTCAAATATTATCAATTAATACCTATGATTTGACGATATCATTAGATTTCTTTTCGAATCTAACATCAATTATTATCTCTTCACAATATTTTTTACTTGATGATCAACTCCTATCCATTCTCAATCATCAGTGTTTTCAACAATTACATACATTCAAAATAAAAAGTGATGTTCTACGTGATGAAGAAATTTTATTGAGAACTATTTTCAGTGTTAACAATAAACTTCAGGCATTTGAATATCTTCCAAAATTAGAAGGACTATTCTGTCGATATCTTGAGAACTTAAGCTCGAACATTCATATGCGTTCATTAACATTAAATTTAGATAATTTTCATGATATATTCACTCTTATTCAGCATGTACCAAATTTAATTTATTTAAATATTCGATCAGAAATGCTTGACAAAGAATTCGAAGAATATCCCTGGAATAGTATTGGTGAAATTAAATTAAAAGAATTTCATCTAGCATTTAAACCGAGAAGAAATTCGGGATATCCACCAATTAGTCTTACAACTGGTCTTGATGGATTATTTCATGCTATTCAAATCTTTTCATCATCGCTAATTACTTTATCATTGGATTTTAGTAACATATATCTTACAAATCGAAATAGTATTCTAACCAATGGTATGGAACTAGAAAAGAAATTATTGAAACCAATGCAAAAATTACAAAACTTTTATTTTTATGTTTGTATTTTTCAATGCAAAGATGTTCAACAAATATTATCTACATTTGCAACATTTCCTTGGCCCATTGGTTTACATGGAAACGCTCACATCTATTCTCTTCCATTTTCATTCCATGAACTAAAGGATTTTCATCATTTTCGAGATGTCCGATCAAATAATGATGAGTTTCTGAAACAAAATGATCGATTATGGTCTAAAGTGACATCACTTAATTTGATTTCTATCGATCGAATTGATTTTAAACATCTATTTCCATTAATAAAACAGAATATGCCAAAATTATCATCGATTGCTTTTCATGGTGGTTTCTGTTTTCATCGTTTTTCCTTTCCTGATGAGTCTGGTGATTTATATGATAAAATCGAACGTGTTAATAAGGTACAATTAGATAGTATCACAACTGTTTGCCTTGACCACATCTCAATGAAACAAACTGAACAAATTCCGATGTATAGTTTCCCAAATATACAATGTTTACTATTAAACAATACGGAATTACCATTGAAAGAAAATCAATTAACTTCGTTTCTTGGTGAAAAACTTCAACGAATCGAGTTTGATGAGTATTCTACACGAAAAAATTTACAAAAACAAAACTTATGTTATCTCTCTAATATTAAACATTTGAAATTGGCATTTGGTTTCCTATATTATGGGAAAGGGTTAGATAGTCAACCGGAAATAACTAGGAATTTATTGATAAAACTACCAAAATTAGAAACAGTATCAATTTATGTGCCACGCAATGGTGCTTATGATGAATATGGTGCTGACCCTATTTATCGTCCGATCATGGCTAGATTAAATGAAAATGAAATTAAAGCTCAATATAAAATCAGATATAGTGGTGGAGCTTATACGTGGATTATAAAAAGAGCTATATCTTCTTCTTCTTCTTTTGAAGATCATTATTATTCTGAATTTTGTATTTCAAATGATGAGAACGATCTTCATTAACACAAAATCATTCTTAATAAAATACCCTGAGATCGAAGCGATATAGTAGAGCCCGATCCGTTTTTGATTTTCTGATCATATTCGGTGAATAAAACTTTGCCAGTTTCCCATCGAAAACATTGTTTAGGATTCTAATACTTATTCATATTCAATCATATGGGCAACGCATTCTTTTCTTATCAATCAGATAAATGGAAATAAAGAAAAGTTAAATTTATTTTAAACAAGACTTACCACAATGAAAAAAAGGAAATAAATATTCATAGACATGACCGATCTAAATGTTAAAACGAAATCAAATACAACAAACATGAAACAAGAGGAAGAAGGACAAGATTTGAGGCTGAATAAAATCAAAGCATGACACATTCTGATCTTGCTTAATGATCTCATCACATCGATATGTCACTTGGTCAAAATTATCATCATGATCAAAACACAACATAGTTTCTCTGTATCATCCATATTGTCAAATCTTTCAGACAAACTCTTCATTGAAACAGATTCTTTTCTCTCGTTCTGTTTTATAAGATCCGAGATAAGCGAACACATGAAATTCTTTTTGAGTGAATTACGGATCTGAGTAAAAGAACGAAAATGTGTTAGGTGGCTAACTATAGATCGTCGATGAAAAAAATCGAATCGTATATCACTCCCGTTTATTCGACAAAAGTCACAAGCTATATATAGCATGATGGATCATCCAGCTATGGAAAATGGTCATTCGATGACAAGGAGAAATCCCATCATATACAACGAAGATGACACATAGTGGACAAGGGAGAAAATCAAACATATATACCACAGAAGAGAAGAACGAAAGATAAACACACAAGAGCTACATCTGAAGAGATGTCACTAACACTTCCTAACATACCTCCATTCGGTGACTGATAAAGATATAAAAATGTTGTTATTGGATTTGAAGTCATAATTCACAAAATGTTCACGTTATTTTTCGTACTATCGTACTATTCTTAAATACTGAACACCCTCTTGATTGTATGTCCAATTGTGAAATTAACTTCTCGTTCGGCATACTCTTTCACATTCCTGAAGGTTAATGTCAACAACGTACTTCAGCCTCGAACTGTTCTGTTCAACTACATTTCAAATATAATCGACAAGCTTATACAGCAAGATTTGGCACTTTTGGATCGGCGTATGAGCTTATTTTCATTGGAGCTGGGCCTTCTCTCTCGTATCACATCGAGTTTTCATATTCAGAAAATATCCAGTGTCCTGTCGCTTATACACAGAGCAAGGTAGATGAAATCGTTGCTCGTTATTACAATGCTACACGTATCTATGGACAACTTGCTCCGCTCATCGATAATCCTTCACGAAATGTTTCAATCCAGTGTTATGATATAAGGAACAATGTTATCACGTGTGATTCAAGCCAGGTCTGCTCGTCGAGCTTTGATACCAGAAAAAAACAGACCATATCACGTCTCTGTAACTCTGATGATGAAAATGCCGGAGTTACCATCTTCGATGACGATGTCTCCCCATATCTTGACGTTAAATGTAGACGAAATTTATGTGATGGAGATACGACATTTAATCAAATCAACAGTATTTTGGCCGAAAATCGTTTAATGATATTATTTCGAACCTAAGTATTTTCGAGATTTAGTTTTTCGCACTTTTTCTTTTCGAGATTCGATTTCGAAATTCATCCTTTCGATCTTCCACCATATTACCAATCTAGGTTTAGTAGATCTCGTATGGTTTCGACAATTTTCAACGAAACCTCATGACGGTTTTTGTAAAACGATAAATGGTTTTGTGCAACACGCACGGAACCTTGAAGGTTTTGTACTATGCTTACTAAACCATTTATGAGTTGATTTTGCAAATGCGGATTGGTCTCGCTAATACGAAACGATTCATGGTTTTCGTAAACGGACCGAAGGATCTGCACAATGTGTACGAAACTGTAAACGGTTCCACAAACTCAGTACAAGTTTCGTATGTTTTCTATGAATCCACTCATAAACGGTGTTCCACAAGTTCTGAAACACTTTTATTTTCTTTCGTTTCCGCGTTTAACAAAAGCAAAGTTCTTGAAAATTTGACAGTTTATTGTCGAGACTTACTACTAAATTACTGCAAAGTTTCAGCCCGATCTCTTTCACTACGGATGAGAACGAATAAGAACACTATTGTGCGCTATTTTTTCAGTTTTTCTTCGTCGTCTTGATTATTTATTTATAACAAAAAAAACTTAAATCAAGAAAATACATATTAATTTATCAATGTTCACGTATTGATTACCATTCTGGTCAACTACTAATTTTAATCATGCTGGTATTTTATCCATCATTCTTTCACACAATAAACTATCAAATTTTTCCCATTCTTCTTCGATATCGTGTTTCATTTCGTCAATATTGCTGTATTCTCGCCCTCGCAACTTCTCTTTTAAGGCACCGCAAATGTTTTCGATAGACCAAACGTCGGTTAATTTAGCATCACAATTCACTGGTTCAATTCGATTAATAAGAACATATCGTACAGCATCCAAAGCCACCGGCACGAAAGAAAATAAAAGTGCTTCAGAACTTGTGGGACACCCTTTCTTACGTGATTATTTTTAAAAGTGGAAAGATCAACCAGTTGTAGTAATTGATTATATTTGAAGAGCGATTCCAATTAGACTAGACTGGTTCCAGATGTAACTCGACGCGCTCTATCGATTCCACATATTATTTTGTCACCCAGACCTTTCGTTCCCCTGCGAATGACCAAAATCCCCTCTCGGAATACTCTAATACCCAGCAAAAACCGTCTACAATTCATTCCAAAAGTTGTTCGAACATAATCTACACAGGTTTCAGATAGATCGCGATGTTTTATATGGACTTCAAATGTTACTCACTCTTGCAGATCTCCCTTAGCCCTCGAAAATGAAAAATGCATCTAAAAAGTCCTTACGATTCCTGTTGGATGGCCTATGATTTCCTCCAAAAGGTACTGGCATGTGACCAATCATGGTTCTAGATAGATCTCAACGAGTTCTATCGACTTCACTAGTTGCGCGTCCTTTGCAACTCTTCTCCTTTCTGCAAGAGTACCAAATACTCCCAAAATTCACAAAAGCTCTCTAATAGACGTAGGTGAAATAACCACTAGATTCGAGTAATTACACTCCGCTTTCGCCCAGAAGGCGTTCTAGAACACTAAAAAAATAAGATCCTCACAGAGCCATAAAGGTTCACAATCTTTGTACCAAACCATTTTAAGTTCGGTAGACCGTAAAAGGTTCCATGGCTTTAATTTCGAACCTTTTTAAATTTCGTAGATTGCACCGGGTTTTGCAATATAGAAACGAACTTCTCTGAAAGTTCCGTATAGTCATCATTGATTTCGGACATCACGTACCAATCCTACCATATTTTCTTAAATAGCCAGAAAGTTGCGCAATATTTATAAAAACCTCCGTTCTACTTTATGCGCTTTATGGAGAAAGTATGAAGCAAGATCCTGATGTATTGTCATTCATTTTCGTCAGAAATTTTCGTCAGAAAAATCGAAATTGACTTGGCCAGGTTGAGAGATACTTCATTTTAATCAGAATTCGACACTGATTGAGGGCTGAACGAGTACACAGAATTCTGAGTACAAGTACTGAGGGTACACCATGAGTAGGAGTATCTTCTGAAAAATACTCCTGCGTATACAAAAAAGCCGGTGATTTTGAAAATATGGATTTTTGAAGACATAACTCGTAAAAAAACAGGAACAGGTTTTTGGGGGGTACTCGCGTAACCACGAATGGTCGAGTATACACAAATCACGAGACCAGTTCGCGGCGCGATTTCGCTGTCGCTACTGCGATCGCGATGAAATCTTATATTCGGATCGCGATCGGGCTACATTCTCAAACGCACGGCATGATCCTGCTCAAATCTTATTTTCAAAAACGTTTTGTGTACGAGTCACTTCGCGATATGTAAACGTGGCACAATCGCTATATTATTTATTTTTGCGATCGTACTGTTTACTTATACTTGTAGAGAAAGAGTAAAGTAAATAAAAGCTAGTTTTTATTGATAAAATAACCCTTTGATGTACACAGTTTTTAAAATGTACATGTTT